CCCTCCAACTTTCTGTGGATTTGAGCTTCAACAGAACTCAAGTGCCTTGTGACCCATAGTTGAAAAGGCCTTTACTGTTTTAAGAGGTTGATATTGGGGATTGCTAGGGCAGTTTTAAATGGGTTCACTATACTAAAAGAACTCAGGCAATCATCCAGATCTGCCATGACATCACTCTCCCTTGCATGTCATTCTCCTTTTCTTTGAAAAATGAGTTAGTGTTGATTTAACTTACTATCTTAGTTAAGATTTCTATTGCTGTGAAGAGACACCATGACCACGGCGACTCTTTTAAAGGAAAACATTTAATCGGGGTGGCTTACAGTTCAGAGGTTCAGTCCATTATCATCATGGCAGGACATGGTGGCATGCAGGCAGACATGGGTGCTGGAGAAGGAGCTGAGATTTCTATCTATATCTTCATTTGGAGGCAACAGGAAGTAAACTGTCTCCCACACTGGGCATACTTTGAGCAAATGAGACCTCAAAGTCCACCCCCACAGTGGCTCACTTCCTCCAACAAGGCCACACCGATTCCAACAAAGCCAAACTTCCTAATAGTGCCACTCCTATTTTCTTTCAAGCCACCCTACTTTCCCGGACCCCATAACTTCACCAGCTATTGTTTGGTCCTTGAACACCCTGGGACATCTAGCTCTATATTCCAATAAATATTTTAATTAAACCTATCAAATTCATTACTTTACTACTTCTAGTAACTCTCTTGATCCCATTTTTTGTTGTTGTTTTGCTTTTCCATTATTTCCTAATATTACCATGTTTTTTTCTCAAATGAGGTACCACTCTGGCCTCTCGTTTGGTCTCCATGAGTCCAGGTTTTCCCCAGCAGCCTTTGTTCCACACAAAAGAGTTTTTGTAACAGTTGACATTCGTTCAAGATATTCCTTTCCCTAAAAATCTCCATGTTCGCCTAGCACCCTTGGAGTAGTTTTCAGCTACATTCCAGCTGTAGCAGATCTCAACAAATCTGGGCCCATATTTCTTGTCACTCTAAGATATGCTGTTCTGACTTTCAGCAATCTGTCTTACTTCTTCTGAGAGCCTTTCCTGTTGGCATGAGCTCACAGTGCCTACTGGCACGGAGGGCAGATGTGCTACATTAACCCTCAGGGAAATTCTTGACCACTGGCTCATGGTGGAGAATAGATAAGCATCCCCAGCTTCCCATTCTACCTGCTCAGTGACTTTCTCTAGGGGTGAAACAATATTCTTTAGTACCATGAAATACATTATTTTTTTTGTTTCAATCATATATATATATATATATATATATATATATATATATATATATATATATATATATATATATTACATATTTCTCTGCTGGCATCTGTTGTGTGGCACAATTCCTGCAGAGATGTAAGCAAATGTCTACTCCCCCTGAACAGGAAACTGGTAATACATGAAAGTAAAGATATCACCAAGGTTCATCTTGGTGAACCATTGAATTTTATTGGGGTTACTTACTGGAATATGGGCCAGGAGTTACTTACCAGAGCAGAAATGACTCCAAGACAGCTGCATCACCAAAGTTTACCCTGGCATGAGGGATGGCTCATGGGAACTGGAAACCTGGAGCACACTGTACAACTTCTAGGCAGTTCAACAGGTTGGAGAATATCTTTTCTGGGTATTCCATTTTGTCTGAGCCTCTTCTAGGCAGTTCGTCTTGGCTAACTTATCTCTCAGCCCTCTTTACGATCTATCTGTTCTTAAGGAGGGGAAGGCCTAGTGTGTCTGCTACGTTCCTAGGACTTCATGGAGTCTTTAAGTTGTACATTTCCTGATCTTAAGGAATTTCCCTGCAGGACAAAATGTCTCTCCTCCCTTTAGAACATCCTATGTCTTAACAACAAGCTTCTCTCTAAGATGGAAGGTTCTAGCTTAGAAGAAATTGTCATACAACAATGCTGACAGTAAGATCACTCCCCAGATGAACTCCATGTATTTCAATCCTTGTGCTGACTTCTGACAAAACTCAAACTGAAGCATGAGTAGCAATTTTGTCCCTGTATAGCTCTCTGACATCACCTCTAAAACTTGCTTCGCCAGTGTGGTCCCTTAGTCTCCTTTCTCATCCTAGGATCTGGTGAGCTCAACACTTGCTACTTTTTGCACAGCCATGTCCCATTTCTCTCTTAAGTTTGATATCTATTATTATCTCTGCCTGTATCATTTATCAGTACCCACTGGGTTGGCTTCTCCTAGTTAAAACACTCCCACATACACAAATACACTGTGTGCCAGTGAGCTGGGTGCTAATATCTAAAATTAGATGGTAAAGCCTAGATGATTCATATGAATCCATATTAACCTTGTATTACAATGGCTATCCATCAATTTTTGCTGCTATTAAGCTTAAGTAGCTTCCATCCTTGGGGTATTTGAATATCAGTATAGGCTTTTGCTTTAAAGAGACTCAAAATATGACAAGAAAAGGTCTGGTCTATACTGCATAAATCTCAAGGTAAGGGTTTGATTTAGGGGCTGTTCACAATTTTTAAAAAGTCAGTGTAACTCTGAGCCTTGGTTTCTTTAATCTGAAAGACTGGGTCTTGTGATTCCTATAATCACAGTGTTTTGTTAGAATTAAAAGAAAACACTGATCCACTTCCTCATATTAAAGCAATATATGCTTCCTCCACACTTGCTTTTCTTGTTACCCCTTTGAAGCATATTCCAGGAACTATGGGATTGTGCTGATTTTAATTTTTCAAATTTGTCTTCACTCCGGACCCATTCAATACCTTGGGCTTGCAGCCAAGATTTGTCTAGTTTCAGAGAGATGGAAACAAGCTTAATGGCTTGCAGAACATCTGTCTTGGTGATATGAAAGTGATGCAAGTTTTCTCCATGTAAATACCAGAGAGCTGAGAGGAGTGTAAGACACCTCCTAACCTACCTGCCTCCTTTTCTGCAGCAGAGTACTTCCTCTTATGAGACTCAGAGATGTGGGTGGGAAATGTAGAGAATAAAGGGAGTGGTGAGCATCGTTTCCTGAATACCCACTGGACTCCTTGCTAGGCACTTCACTTAAACTGGTCATTGTTTTCCTAGGACATCCCAGTTTGGATGAGGGAGTTGGAAAGAGCTAAGAGGTAGAGTCTTGCTCACGATAACACAGTGTGTTTACAGCTATGATCCCAGATCCCTTCTGAAACCTCCCCCAAAGCTTTCCTCCTATTGAAACCTCATCATGATACTTCCTTTGTGAGAGCATTAACTCTGTTTCTTTAGTTATTTATTTTGTTTGGGTTTGTTTTTGAGGCAAGATCTTATATGTTCCAATCTGGCCTGAAATTCACTATATATCTGAGAATAACCCTGAACTTCGGATCCTTCTGCCTCTACCTCCCTCCTGCTTGAATAATAGGCATGTATCATCGTGCACTATTTTATGCAATGCAGAATCATATCCAGTTCTTTCCATGTGGTAGTCAACACTCTATGTTTTGAGTCACATGCCCAGAAGGATAGTTCTCGATTTTCCAAATCTTGATCACCTCATTTCACTTTGTTTTCCTAAATTGTAGAAAAAGACTAAAGATAACTTTATCTGATCACCTCATTTAACAGGCAGTGGAAGTTTTTAAAAAGTCCTGTGACATTTTCACATAAGCAGTGATGATTGGTTTTCCTGGACTACCCCGTGTTTTCTCAGGTATTCATATGTATCAACTCTTAACCCCTCTAATTTCTGCTTTTCCACTGCTGCTTATGGGGACTTCCTCACAGCTTATAACTGTTGCATTCCCTACTTGTACCCCCATTACCCTCTCAAATATCGAAAACCTCAGTCCTTTTCAGTTCCTTGAGAGCACTGTGCTTTATGTTTAAAGTCTTTGATAGGATGATGGATGTATCTGCTGGTCTCATTGCTTCGTCACAGCACCTACATTTTTCTCATTACCAGCTCCTGTCTTCCAAAGGCAAGGGGCTTGCTCAAAGTCACAGGGCAGGTTGTACCTGAACTTTGTTCCCTCCACAGCAACACTTGCTTTCAACTTAAACCTTGTTCCTTTAGCATTTGAAACAATTACTCAGAGGATGAAGGATTTCTCAGTCATGTCGCTTTGATTTTATAAAGTTTTTTTGTTTTTAATTTTGATAGTGAACTGAATATTAACTGCAAAGCAGAAAACATGATGCATGAGTCTTACATTAAAAACTAGTTATGGAGCCAGGCATGGTAGCACACACCTTTGATCCCAGCAGAGGCAGTCAGATTTCTGTGTTCGAGACCAGCCTGGTCTATAGAGCAAGTCTTAAGACAGGTAGGGCTACACAGAGAAGCCCTGTCTCAAAAACAAATAAAGAAATCCTAGTTATGGGTGTAGGAGTTTTAGGCAATGCTTTTTGTTGTTAGGTTAGTGGCTTCCCTCCTGACACTCAGTATATTGTGTTTTCATGATTTCAAAAATACATTATGGGTATTCCTGACTTCCCTTTTCTTGATCTTACATATAATTCTAACTGTCCCCCTAATAGTACTTTTGTACAAAACTTAAGACCTTAAGCATCAGCACACAAGTATGTAATCTGAGCTGCCTTTTGGTGGTACTGTCAGTCAGCAGCTCAGTGGATAGTGCCACTGTCATAGAGATACCTATGCAAGTATCATGTGTTTATGGTATATTGCTCTTATTAATTTAAAAGATGTTCAACAGTAAAATTGGTAGGTTATTAATGCCTGCCTTAAGCACCTTTCATCTCAACATGAAAAGAGCCAATGAAACCTGTGTGCAGCAATGTTCTTAATTCCTAAAAACTTATTTTTAAAAAGGGACATTATGAAGGGGTTCGGCAGTGGTGGCACACACCTTTAATCCCAGAACTCAAGAGGCAAAGCCAGGCGGCTTGAGTTAGAGGCCAGCCTGGTCTACAGAGTGAGTTTCAGGATAGCCAGGGCTACGCAGAGAAACCCTGTCTCAAAAAACAAAATGAAACAAACAAACAAAAAACAAAACAAAACAAAAAAGAACCTTATGAAGTTGATATTTTATTTTCATTTCACAGATAGTAAGACAAAACCTTAAAACAATTTAATAACTTTCCAAAGACTGCCTAGCTACTTCCTAACTGGTGACTGATGAACAATAAAATGTTATACATGGATAGAAAGCAGCAATATTTCAGTCTCAGCTATCGGCTCACATGATGGACTGGATGATTAAGTGTTCATTGTTTTCTTACTTAATTTACTATTTTTAAGGTAACCTCATTTTGAAAGCTTTATGCATATACATTGTGTTGTGATCAAATTCACCCCTCATCGTCTCGTTCCCCTCCCGCCTCTGCAGAGACCCTTCTTCCCAGTTAGTCTTCTCACTTTATTATTTTCTGTCCCACACTTCTTTAATTAGGTTTGCTTGTTTGAGCTTGGGTAGAGGGCTATTTACGGGAGCATGGGCACCTTGCCAATGGATAAAACACTGAAGAAAATCACATCTCTCTTCCCCTGCAACCATGAACTGTCAGTGGCTCCTTAAGGAGAGAGGCATCACAATCACCCCCACCCCCACCAAGCCCTGATCCATGGTGGAATGTTGAAGAACCCCCCTGTTTCTCACAGGTTTGTATACGACCAATATCTGTAGTGAGCTCAAGATTGCAACGACCATGTTACACCCAGAAGACAGGGTGTGGTCCATTTTTGTTTCCCTTTTGCTGTTTTTTTTTTTTTTTAATGAATAAAGAATATTCTCAGAGTGTATTGTTGAAGACAGAGTCCAGAGAGTAATATATAATGACAAGTGATATATGCTTTAGTGCCACAGAGTGGAAATTTCTTACACTATATAATAATGTTTGCCAGGTTTTGCATATACAAAATAAAGATATTTTGGGGGGATTTTGTAGAAGATTTGGTGTATATCAAATTCAATTTCCTGTCTTTCATTGATTTTTTTTAAAAATTATAAACTCACATGGTTCTCTTTCATGTTATTGTGTGTGTGTGTGGGGGGGGCATGTGTGTGTGTGGGCATGCACACACATGCCCACACACACACATGACCATTCTATATGACTCTACAATAGACAAAAAAACACACAACAACATGTTGAAGCAGACAAGCTATTATATATTTTCATAATATAGAACTTTAAGGTATAGTAATCAACAGTGGCAAAATATTTGTCTTTGACATTATTTTCGTGTATGTGTGTCAGATCCAACCTGTAACTGAGACCAGAGAGAACAATATGGAAACACAAATCCATGAGAAGAGAATAAAAAATACCATGAACAGCAAAATATGTCTGAGTATTTAAAACCGTATAGAAAAAATAAATTAGATGAACCATCGTGTAAATATAAATTAAAAAAGATGACATTCTTAATAAATAAAGTTAACTATTTACATTTTTATATATTGCTGAAAGACTTAACTTAGATCCATAAAAACACATAAACAGGAAAAATAAACCCACAACAAGAGCAGCACATTTCTGCGCGTGAGGTACAGGAAGAAGGTTAGAGTTGTGTTTAGTTTTTGGTCTTTACTTTGCATTTATCTTTCTTTTCACTCTTTCTTTCTTCCTTTCTTTCATTTTTTTCTTTTTTCTTTTTTTTTAACAGTAGACCAGTAGAATTTTCTTAAGAACAGATTCTAAGCACTTTGATGAAGAGTCATATTTTTTTGGTTGCTTCCAGAAGGTGCCAAACAGATTTTAACATCATAATAATTAGAAATACCCTCAACAACAATAAAAAGGTATAATATGATACATAAATATGGAAGAGCAGTTTGTAATATGAATACATTTTCTCTAGAAGAGATCACAGTTTTGTAAATATTACATTTAAGTATATATATACACACATATATGTACAACTATATATACATGTGCATATATATGTAAATTTTTATTTATATATAATATCTTTATATAGATAGATATCTGCAGACAGGTTATTGATTATAGAGACCCAACAAAGCAACTCACTAATTGTTCATAGTTCTCCTCACTGACTGCTGGTGTGAAGTTTAAGAAGTCCAACTTGCACTCAAATATTATCACTTATATTAATGAAACATGTGTTGTGGAAACTAAGTGTGAAAAGAGAGGAATCTGCTGGAGAAGAGATGTCAGACCCTCTTACTCTGTAAATTGGTAATGCCCCCCCAAATCTTAACTACATGACAGTAGCCTGATTTTTACACTGTAGGAAGTCATTGGATTTTGATCAAATCATTGAATTGGTAAAGGCTAGAAAAAGGGAGAAGGAACTTGAAATTATCTAAAGAGTGAACTATTTCCCAGTACACTCCCTTAAGGTGAACTCTAATCCAGGCATTCCAGCTTTTGTGCCTTGAAATGTCAATCAAGTACTCCCTATCTCTGAAAAAGGTGATGACCCTATGCATTCTTGAAAAACAACCTATGGACTTTGCATCAGATGGTGTCTCTAACAGATTGCATAGTCCATTTAAAAACCTCAGGGCCTCATGGTCCTCTGTCCTCCCACTGTGAGGTAGGTAAGTAGTAGTATCCCCATTTTTCAGCTAGAGAAACTGAGGCAAATGTGGAGGCAATCTGATGACTTGTTCAAAATCACTGAGTGAAGTGATGCCTGGAGTCAAGCATTCTGAAGCTTTGGCCAAACACATAAACTTCTACCTTGATTATTATTGCATTGTTCTTACAAGGGAAATGATAGTTAGGAATTTGGCAAAACTTGAATAAATTACAAAAAGAGGATTTTACAAAACTCATTTTCTATTTAGTTATTAATTTGGTTTGTTTTCTTTCTCAAACTTCACTGGGATCACCTGTCTGGTCATGTAGCAGCTTCTTAGGAAGTGGACTGTGCAGGTTGGTTCTGAATGTAGTCATCAGGGAGCTCAGGGCCATACTGGCAAATACAAATATCTTATAGTGTAAAAAGGACAAAGACACAGTTTATCCCCTTAACATTTGGTGAAAACCAATATGAAACCCTCCCCAGGCCCCACTACCATGGACAGTCACAAAAAAAAAAAAAAAAAAAAAAGAGCAAAATGCCCCACTAAAAACAACTCAAGGGAGAATATGCCTTACTTCCTGGACCTACCACAATGTACAGAAAATATCAGACAGAGCAATAAAACCTCACTCTTCATCATCTAGCGAAATCTCTATGTCATCTCTACATACTCAGTCTGTAGAATAAACAGCCTCCTCGAGGAAGCATAAAAATAGAGTTCATATTCTTAGGTTTTAATCATGCATTTTAGTTCCTTGTAATCATATTGTCCTCTATTAATTTATATTTTTATAGCTTTGTCACTATCATTTTTTTCTCACTTGAAGTAGTTCCAGAAAAAAAGTCACACACACACACACACACACACGCACGCACGCACGCACGCACGCACGCACGCACACAGACACACAGACACACTGAAACTGTTAACATGACTATGATTTCCTTCCTTTTCCATTCTTCTCTTTTCTTTCTTTCATTTCTTTTTCTATTTCTTTCTTTCTTTTTTTTAAAAATCACACAGGTAAGACCTTTAACAAACTGACAGTTACAGCCAAGTTAAATCGAACCTGGAAGGGAGGTAGCTGAAATCTGTCCCAAAGAATTATTTTCAACAAATAGCATTTAAACATTGGCCAAAGTGGGAATGAGACAGAGAATGGTCTCGGCAGTGGCCCAGTGTGCTGAGGAGGCCAAGCACGGCAGCTGATTCCCTCCTTTTCCAAAAGCCTGCTATTTAAGACCATTAATCTCTCCTTTGCTTTACACCCTGCTTCACCTACCCACACTGACTTTCCATGGACTCACTGGCTTCCCACACTGACTTCCCTTCCGAGGTTGTTGGCACACCATCCAGGGACAACGCAAGTCCTTTGGGCAGACAGTGAGTTGCGGTTTGGAACAGTTTCCCAGATGGAGCCTAGAGAACTGTCCACCTCATCTTTGCTTCCTTGCTGCTAACAGACTGATACTTCTTCAGCTGCAGAACTCCCAAGTGCTTTCGGGCCCCTAAGCTGTGGATGTACAACAGTGCTTCAGACCCGCCTCCTCCTGATTACTCCATTGTCTGAAACAGATGACTGAGGGGGATGTGACAAGGAGTTTATTCTCAGGAAGCAAATGAAACTGGGAATCAGTGCATTGCAAAAATGCAGCTGACTGTCCTGCATTAAGGTCTGGGAAGAACCTATGAATTACACATCCCTTGTGGGCATGAGGCAGGCTACCAGTTGTGTAGCCTCTTTTATCTAATAGGCTCAGCAAATATGAATTTGGTCACAACAGGTTTGATTGGCAGCAAGTTGGAAACTAGATGGGATTCTGCCTGGATAGGCCCACTTCAGTCTCTGAATCTTAAAATAGGAGCCAGCCTCCAGGAGTCTTTGCTCAGTTGGAGAGTGTAGCAACAGATGACAATAAGAACAAAGAGTTAGATGAGGATTGATTGGGGGGAATTCTTATGGTCTGTCTTCAGTTTCTATGACCCTACTGTTAATAATGTTATCTTTGGGTCTTTGGAGGCTCCTGTACTACTTATGGGCATTTTAAGCTGTTGAGAGGGCTGGTCCTGTTTCCACTCTTTAGCTTGTCCTGTCTAAGCTGACACAGCATATCTGGGTAATAGAGAGGCCTGAAGGGTTAACAAAAGTTTGAGGATCCTAGAGAGTTAAACATAATCAGGCCAATTCCCATAAAATTGTTCTTATATTTTGTTAAAGATTGGTTCTAGTAATTACAGGGGGAAGTGCCCTATATATAAATGTGATATGCTTTTGGAGGAGCCAAAGTGCTGGGCTATCACATCAGTGGCCACTTCTCCATTCTAGACTTGAACGTCAGAGGCTTCAGTAAAGGACAAGCTGCATAATATAAGCATTGTATCCTTATTTATGGGCACCTGTGCGAAAAGCACCTTGGTACATTTCTTGATATTACAGACCACTGATGGTCAATAGATACCTTTTCAAGTATTCTTAATCAGTAGGAAAAAGCTATTGGTCATAATATGAAAACACAGTTTGTGAAATTACTGTTGGTCCTAGTAGAAAAGGGAACACGATAGATTAACGATGAATGCCTTAGCTGCAGGATGTCTATGCATGGACTGGCATTTTGCATTCTGTCCCAGACTTGCTTTTATTAGCTGTCCCCACTAGACTTGAGATCAATTGATGTACTGTCATCTTTATGTTATACATTTCATTTAGGTCCTCCTATGTCCTTGCTTCCCAGCTCCATGTTTCACAAATTTGTCAAAGTTAACTACTCTATACACCTCATCCTGTGTTGATCTCTTCTCACATTAATTCAGAGGGTATGAACAGGTAATTGGAAAAAAGAGGCCCTGCATACATCACTGGCTTCCATGTACAGTTGACTCATTTCCTCCTAATGTTTGAAGACTAAATATGGGAGGGGAAGGAGCAGTGCCCAACAATGAATGTGGAAAGGTGTCCTAACATCTGAAAAATTATATGGAAAATGTGATGAATGTGTTGGGTGCTGAGTCTGGATCTCCAGGGCTTCCCGATGTTCCTCTGTTCCTCTAGAATGCCACATACATTGCCCAGATCCAAGATGTTTTAGAATTCATCTGCTTAGAATAATAGTGGGAGTCTCAAGACCAAAGCTTGCTCTAGCCTAGAGACCTGGGAAAATTGAGATAAGGACAATAACCCGTGTCCTGACCATTCCAGCAGCTTCCCTGTGGTTCCAGCATTCCCAAGTTTAACACTGTTCCACTTGATTAGAAAATCTAACACTGGCTTAGACATTCTCGACTCTCAGGAAGGGCTCGAGCATCTGACATCCCTTAACTCTTTTCCAGAATGAGAAGTCCACTTGTGAAGGACTTAAGCCCATTAAGGTTTTTCTCTTGAAGATGGGCCAAGAAGTGAGGAACTCTGGAAAAATATGAATCACTTTTAAGGCAGTCTACTTGATTATTTGGAGTTTTTTCTAACCTAGCTTTACTATCGAAGAGTACTCAATGTATCAGACAGAGCAGCAGGAAGAGTAGCAGCAAATGTGGTCCCAAGGTAAGATCTGGAGAACAGGTGGGATCTGGAAGGGATATGAAGACCTCAAGCCTCAAGCAGGGAGCTGATGGAATACCTTGACTCTGCAGTCCTAAGCCATTTCCAGCTAGGCCTTGCACCCTGGTGTTGGGGCAAAATCCCCATGGCAGCAGAAAAATTGGGGAGCTTTGCACACCTTGGAATATTTACTTATTCTTGGGCCCTAGTTCCCTAGAAGATTTGTAGTTACAAAGCATTTCACTTCTGGTCCCCAAACACTACATGATGATGTATGCACAGCATTTTCTGTACCTCAGAATCTGAGTTATATTTCTTTCTCAGTACTTGGTCTTAGTTTCTATAACTCTCTTTCTCCCAAGGAGCTTGGGAAAGGAAAGATTGAGGTGGTTTTTGTTTTGTTTTGTTTTGCTTTGCTTTTGTTGCTTTGTTTTGTTTTTCCAGTTGTTTTTCACTAACTTTTCTAAAACTGCCTTCACATAGATGTTTGTATGGGTGTGTATGTATGCATGTGTATGAACCACAGATGTGCATACTCCTTGATACAAAACATGGTTTTGTTGTTTTGGGCTGTGGTCATGTGACAAATGGTTAGAATTTTCAGAGGCTCTGGGACTACATGCTGTGTATGCAATCCATCTTAGACTGCAGGATAGTATTCCATTCCATCATTCAGCATGGTGAGATTCAGTTCATTGCCCCACAGTTGGTCCTTCCTGGGTGAAATTAAAGGCAGACCGGTTGGGTGCTAAGGATCCCTGGTGTGGAGAGGCCATTTCATTGAGCAGCAGACTGTGAAATCAATACCAGAGGGATGCGGGTCTTGGCGTTGGGAAATCTTGGACAACTCTTGTCTTTCCTTAGCCATGGCTATATCCCCGAAGGTCTTTCCGGCTGTGTTCTTGGGCTTCAGGGTCCCGACAGGCGCAGTCATCTTGTAGGTCACAGGACATAGGAAAGGGAGTGACCTACAAAGAGGAAAACTGGAGTGAATCAGATGGCTTGGTCTAATTTTCAGTATGGTGGTAAAGAGCAAGGGGACAACCACTAGATCTGAAAAACAGATTCAAGGTCATGTCATGGTTCTACTTTTTGAAAGTACTACAATAACCTTTTCCATAATACCAGGGTCAATATCATAGCAGGTCACATTTGGAGAGGTACTTGCTACAGGTAAGACAATGCTCTTTCCAGATAAGAAAATTCGGATTCTCTTTCACAACTCTACACCAGTTGCCCTTTTATCAATGATGAAATTGAAACCAAGAAAGGGACACTGTTTGCTGAAAGTAAGTGATCAATCTGATACTTAAAGTAAAACAAGCTACTTCTCTCTGTGCCTGGGAACCAACTGAGTAAGCTACATGGACTGAGTAACATGGATAAAAATCATTATGAGGACTAATACAGTTTGTTAATACAATTCTACAATGGAATATCTAACAAGTAAAACTACTGTGATGAACAAATTAAAATAGAAGAGGTGGACATATCCTTTAAAGGAACATAGCTCTCTGAACATACTGGCATTTATGTTTGGGGAGGCAAAAATGATACAAAAAGAATGCATAAAGCAAGTTTACATGATCTCTTTGGGGCCTGAAATCCTAAGTAAGGAGCATTTTACCCAAAAGTTCTGAATTAAATTTGTTGGGAGACCTTTCTTGGAAACAGACTTTAGCGTAAGAAAAAGTGAGAGGCCAAAGTTCCATTCCCAGTCCTTCCTGTCATGTGTTCTGTGACCTTGGGCTGGCTGGCCTTTCTAGAAAGTGATAGGAAAAGCCCAACAGAGCAAGTGTCTTCCCCAGCCGGCACATGATCCATCTTTCCAAAGATTGCAGCGCAATCCCTGCTGGAGTCCCAGCCTGAACTAACGCAAGTCGATTTCACCGTATTGCATCATGACATTTGCTTATAACTTTCCCCAGAGGGTCCCCCATCTGCGCAGATGGATTTAATGACCTCATTCGCCTCCTGCCTAGGCAGGGTCTCCAAGTGCTCACATTGTCTCTGAGAGCATCTTTCTCTTCCTTGTTCTTATGTATTTGTAGACTAACTCTCTCTCTCTCTCTCTCTCTCTCTCTCTCTCTCTCTCTCTCTCTCTCTCTCTCTCTCTCTCTCTTCTCTTCTCGTAACCTCCACACTATCAAGCTCTCTTGATCCTGATATATTTACAATGATTTAAATTGGAGTCATAACCTTGGTCCCTCTCTCTCACCTATCTCAGGCATGACCTTGAACATGTGACAAGTCCTGGAATCTTAACAAAGTCATTCATTAAGTAGGAACAATAGAAGTATATCCTTTTATGTTTCCTGACACTGTGATGAAGGATAAATGAAAAAGCTCATGAAAAATACCTAGTACAGTGCTTGACAAACTAACTGATCAATTATACAGGCATATATTTATGTACACAGATTGCACACACACATTAATAAATCTCTCTCCCACTAATTCTTTGATATTGAATAGAGATAGGGTCAGTCTTGTTCATTATTGTTTCCTTAGAGCCTAAGCCACAGAAATAGTGAGTTGCTCTTTATTCCCCCTGCCATGCCCCGCCACCATGTCTAAGACATTTCTTTGTTTCACCTTTCAATTAACAGGTACTTTACTTGGTGCTGTGCTAATCAATTCAGGCTTCTTCCATTGATCACCTGCCTTTCAAATTGCACTTGCTCTTCCTTCTTCGGGTCATTTACATTCCAGCCTCTAAGGCAGTCACTCTCAACCTGTGGGTCACCACCCCTTTGGAGGCTGACTGACCCTTTCAGGGAGGTTGCATATCAGATATCCTCCATATCAGATATCTACATTGTGATTTATAACAGTAGCAAAATTACAGTTATGAAGTAGCAGTGAAAATAATTCCATGGTTGGAGGTCGCCACAACATGAGGAACTGTATTTAAGATCTGCAGCATTAGGGAGGCCGAGAACCACTGCCCTAAGGGCTTGTTTGTGGAAAAAAAATTAAAACATTCTCTGTAGAATCTACAGTATTCTTTCCTAGACTTCTTTCCCACGGCCCTTTTATCTTCAGGAGGAACACAGTGTAAGAACTGGAAAAGATACTGAGAGAAACTGCATGTCCCAGGTGGAGAGACTGAGTATAGAACAAAGACAAACTCCAGTAGCTGACTAACTGTGGAGAGGCCCATGCTGGCAGCCGAAGTCCTGGACCGCATTTCCTTGCTTCATGCTTACTGAACAGTGTGGAGAAATTCCTTCTCTGCCATGGCCCATAGTTTCAACATGTATAAAACAGAGATTAAAATAGAAACAATACTACATATGGCTGTGAGGATCAAACAAGAGGAAACACACAAGATCCCTAAAACATGGCCCAACGTGTAGGGTTTGCTCAATGAGGAGTAAAATATGCTGTCAGGCTTTTCTCTCACATCTTCAGCATCTTCTCAGCCTCTTGTTGCCTTTCTCTCCCCCCGCCAGACTCTGTCCTTAACTCATCCTTCCCTCACCCTGACCCCTCTCTTGACCTTGCTCATCCTCTGCCCTTAAAACATTCCAGTTAGCGCTGGTGTCTTCTTTACATTCTCCCTGTAACTCTCCCACTGAGCTCTGTGTTTCACCAGGGCAACTTCACATCTGTGTCCCGCACAGAGAAATGTTTAACAAATTCTTGGAAGAACTTCAAACTCTCCAGCATAGGTTTAAGACCTGCCATCATCTGGGCACTAGATGATCCTCAGGCTTCACTTGTCTCTTTTTTTCCTTCACACTCTGTGCCTATTCACTTAGAGGGTTTTTTCAAATACTACAAACATTTTCCCATTTTACGCCTTTATCCATTCTGGTTCCTCTGTCCTAACTGTTCTTCCACATGTCTTGTCTCAAGATCTCATCACCTTTCTCTTTGCTCTTAGGATATCACAGAATATTACTTTTACACCCTTCCTGCACAGAATTGCTTCTCACTTGTGTGTCTGCTCAGTCTGGGAAGGAGGAGGGGTTACTGTTCAATTGCATCTCTGCCAAGTGATGAGTGGACTCATCTGTGGGTGAGCACATGAACGCACAACAGAGCACAACAGAGGCGGAGAACAAGTCACGGAGGCCCCGGGCTTGGGCCCGCTTTCTGATAACTTTCTATGAACTACTTCCTTTCTTTGGACTTCAATTTCCTGATGTATATAATAAGCATTGAGCTTTATGATCTAACATCCAACATGGCTGAAAATATTTCTCAGTACGAGAAAAGAGGAAAGCAGAACCCTGTCCAGAAAAAAGTTAAATACCATAAGGTGTGTGTGCATGTTTGTGTGTGTGTGTGTGTGTGTGTGTGTGTGTGTGTGTGTGTGTGTGTGTGTGTGCATATATTGTGTTAAGTCTGGGGCCTTATACATGTTAAGCAAGCCCTCTCCCACTGACTTGCACATACCTCCTTCCTAGGAACTTGAAACAGACTTTTCCCAACAAACTCTACCTTCCCTGCTTCTCTTCCTACCCTCTTCAGTTCCATTAGCTTCTCCAAAGTCACTGGCAGGCAGAGCTCTAGCTCCAGTTGATTCTCCTACTGGTTTAACTATATTTGAATGAGATCTCTATGCTCCATCCTACCAAGGCCAGCCCTGGAAGTTTTAACATTTCTTTAAGAGACACTTCTGAAAGTAAACGATAGGAAATGTAATTAGAATAGGATAAAGTCTAGAAGGCTTGGTCTCCAGGTGGAAATCCAACAGCTTTTTTGAGTCTACCATGTTCTTTAAATACAGGTATATTGAGACCAGGGTAGAAGTTTGGAATTTACTTGTAGGCTCCATGTGAGAGACAGGCCTTCATAAGGTCTGTACAATGTTCTGGTGAGGAGTCAAAAAATCAGCTCCTCTACAAACCAGCTCTGAGATCTTTGTCTCTTATGGTGAGCCCTGAGCTAATCTCAACGTGCATTATCTCATTCAGTGCTTCCAAGCAACCCTAATAAGGTAGCTATTCTTACTATCCCTGACTTATACCTTAGAGGAAACTAAGATGCAAAGAAGTGAGTCACTAGCTGGCATGTGGCCAGGGACATGCATCTGTGTTTATCATCGTTTCTCAGTGCCACCTCCAGACCCCCAAAAAGCAAGAAGAGTAGGAGTCGGACTCATCTCAATGTAGAAGAAAAAAATCTAGGCATAGGGATAAGGATCACATTTGATAAAGTGAAAGACATGAGCCTGATTTTCAGTCTCTGAACCCCTACCAAGCTTGTCATCCAGGTGGCCTGCCACAGAGATCTACTGCACACCATGGTGATCAGACCGTATTTGAAGATTCCCCGTAACCATGTATCTATGTTGTCTCGTGCTCTGCTAACAATACTGGATCAATGACCCAATGCAGGATTCTTCCCTTTTCCTCTTGGCTAGAGAATGGTGCTCAGTCCAGAGTTTTCTCCATCTGGGTGAGCTGCCCATGCTAACCCCTTCATCTATGGGTGTGAATAGCTCAGGAATGCAGCTTGGGCAAATGTACCACAAAGCTCTGGCTGTAGCTCTCATCTAGGTCTGGGAGACAGGCAAGGACTGGATTCTGACTCATACTCAATGAAGAGATAATAGAATATGCTGTGTGTGTGTGTGTGTGTGTGTGTGTGTGTGTGTGTGTGTGTGTGTGTGTTGAGGAAACAAGAAATATCCTGTGTTGGCAGTCTGAAAGCTTTGGTTCTGCCACTCCTATGCTATGGTAGTTTGGGTCAGTCACTGTATCTCCCCAAATCTCAGGGACTGTACATGTAAATAGTTAACAAGACAAGTAGAAGAAAACATAACACATAGAAACAGTATGTTTCTTGGGAGTTGGGTGAATACAGTCCTGATACAACACAATCAATGTATAGAGTAGAGTGTTCAAGCATGAGTAAAGTGTTCATGTTGATGAATAATGTACGTAGGTTCGGTAAGGAAATCTACTAGTAGTGATGGAAAGAGAACTTGGGTTTGCGCTCTTGCCCTGTGACTGAC